TTTTTTGGGTTTTAATATTGATTTATTTGGAATGGTACAGACAGCTAGGACAAAAGGCTACATTACAGAGTATAAAGAAAGCAGGCCACCTTGTTCACCTGGAAAGACCATGTGTCTACAATAGATGTCTTAAGAAGTTTCTTGCTTCCTTGCAGGCTGCAGATATTGAAGTTTAATACTGGCCTAAACCCTGTATCACACTGAGCTTTTATTTCCTACCTCTGCTAAATTATTCTTTTCGACCAATTGAAATATGCGTATCGTGTTCGTTTTGTTCGATTGGCTTCCAACATCACATTTTAGACGTCGAATCGTTTTAAACATTCTTCGTTGCTATCTATGTTTCCATGAGTAATAGAGAAACCGGAAGAATGAAGGCAAAACCTATTTTAGGATAGTGTTTAAGGTAAGATCACGAGAAGGCACACGACTATCATAATTATATAAACTCAGTCGAATGCAGTTTTTTTTCAGATGATGTTGTAAGATATCCACTACAAGAAAACACTTCAATTCCAACGAAAAATTCCAACAGCAAAAATTTTCGTTGAAAATTCCAATGAGTATTCCAACAAACTTAATTTTGTGTTGGAGTAAGTGTTGGATGGTTGAAGAATTCTAACGGATTTTTTTCATTGGAATAGTTGTACACTACAAAAAAACACTACAATTCCAACGAAAAATTCCAACAGCAAAAATTTCCGTTGGAAATTCCAATGAATATCCAACAAACCTAATTTTATGTTGGAATAAGTGTTGGATAGTTGAGGAATTCCAATGGATTTTTTCCGTTGGAATAGCTGTAGGAATATATTTCCATAGGGTTTTCCGTTGGATATTTGCTATTCCAACGGCCGTTTTTCCAACAAATTTTTATACATAGGAATATCATTTCCAACGGAAATATAAAAAATTCCAACGGAAAATTTTCGTTGGAATGTAAGAGATTTTTTTTGTAGTGGTAGGAATTTATTTCCATAGGATTTTCCGTTGGATTTTAGCTATTCCAACAGCCGTTTTTCCCACAAATTTTTATACGTAGGAATATCCGTTGGAATAGCTATTCCAACAGAAAATATAAATAATTCCAACGAAAATTTCTGTTGGAATTTAAGAATTTTTTTTGTTGTGATCACCACTTATTCTCAAAATCCAAAGAGAAGGCAGAATGCATAAATAGGCAATTACGGGTTATTGATCTAATCTGGACTTATACATAATATTTTCAGTAGCATGTGTGTATTAAAAAGCTGAGTACATGAATAGTTGTTCAAATAATTGAGCTGGGCAAGTCATGGCGGGTGTCTTAGCATACACTTTTGAGCAATTTTTTTTTTTTTTTTTTAATTAATGAAAGAAATATAATCAAAGTATTAATTTATTATAAATTAAAATAAAATATAATTTTGATTTGAGGAATAAATAATAAAATAATAATTGATATTATATTAAAGATATATAAGTGGACGAATAATATAAAAATATATATGTAATAATTGACTTGTGTTATAAAAAAAGGAAAGATAAAGAACTCAATAGAACCTGGATAGAGGTTTTATTAAATGTTTTCTTCTTCTTCTTCTTCTCAATGTGTATGTTTCACTTAAAATAAGGTCGCGAAACCCTTCGATATCCCATATCTGAGAAACCCTCCTCCCAAAACGGATCTGTTCGCCTTCCTCCATGACGGACTAGCTCGGTCAGGGATCGTCCTTGTCCTCCTGGTCCACTCCCGGTGAAGCGTGCTTTCGATGTGGCCATGGATTGCGTGGGGTGCGGGGGTCCGACCTGTGGTCGTTGATGGGGCCTCGGTGGGAGGTGGTGACTCGCCCGACAAGCGTTCAGCTGAGGATTGGAGGCTCTTCGATTGCTTGCGGAACGTGGTGAGTGGTGTTTTGCTCTTCCTTTGTTTCCCCTTTGTGGTTGATGTGTTGTGGCCCTTCGGCGGGGTCTTCACCTTTTTGGGTGGGGATTTACCTTTGGCTTTCGACAATTTGTGGAGGTGTCGGGGGTGTGGAAGCCGTGGAGTGGAGCGGGATCCCGACTGCTGTGCCGGTCTAGTGCGGTAGTTGGGGTTGAGGGCCCGGGCCACTCACGCTTTTTCCGTGGTCGGCTAGTACCGTTAGGCAGCGGGGATTGGGTCCTATCGAGCTCGGCTAGTGGTGTTAGACGAGTTCGGTGGGGCTGGCGTTGGGGCTAGTTGGGTTTCTCTCGGTTAGAGATGAGTTGATTAGGGATTGTCTCGGGGGTTGAGTTCTCATGCTGTATAGGCGTTTGTGCAGTTTCGGTAGCGGTTCTCGGGCTCGAGGTTGTCTTTGTGTCGGTTGTCCACTGATGGTTGAGCTTAGTTCGGTTCGTTGGGGAAGAGTTTTGTATTCGTTTATTGTTGTTTATGTTTTTATGTTTTTCTTTGTTATATGTTCGTTGTGTTTGTGTTGGGTGGTCTTTTTGTTGTTGGTTTGGGCCGTTGGCCCCGGTTTGGCATGAGTGTAGCCTTTATTCTCATGTGTTCTCCTGTTGGGATTTTATACTCAGTATTACCCTGTTGGAGTCTGCGTTGTGTTTCTAGTTTGGTGTTGGTGTTGTAGTGTGCTGGTCATTCTAGCTTTGCTAGTTGTTGTTCCGTCTAGGTTACATTAGTTTTGTGAGTAACCTCCAATTTTTTTTTTTCGGGCTCGTCTGTGTACATTGCCTTTTGGCCTTTTATATTTGAATATGTTTATGTAGTTCGAAAAAAAAGTGTATGTTCCACTTCATTTGGAGTGCCTTTTATAGGCAAATTCTACTGACCTCACCTACACAAATTATTCATATCCCACACCCCTTACTATTCATATCTATTAATCTATATCTATATAATGGACGAATCCATTTTGCCAAAAATGGACGAATTTTTCCGCTTAAAATTTTTCGGACAAAATTTGAAATATTGTTTGTATACCAATTTGTGGATAATTTTGTTAGCAAATATTTTGGAAATATTGTTTCTATAACAGTCCCGTGGATAATTTTGTTAGCAAATATTTATTGATCCCGTGGATCTTGCTTGGATGTGAGCAATGATTCTATTAGCAACTATTTTGTTAGCAAATATTTTGTTAACTTTAGGAGGATATATTATATTTTGGACGATAGATGTTGTTAGCAAAGATTTTATTGTTAATTTACATAAACATGGTATCAATAAAAAAATAGAAGGATTTTAATTGCATTTTTTTTTTTTTTGCAAATATTAATATAAACATATTGCCATCTTTATGTCAATTATAATTAATTTATTAATTAATATACACATATTATCATCTTTACGTGAGATGTGATTATATAAATCTTGATTAAGATTGACACTACAGTCACAAAAAATATATTTTATACGTACTCAACCAACAAAGGTTCAAAAAAATACCTCCCCTTTTTGTGTCGATCAAAAAATTGACGAACGCATTGCCACAAATGGCTCTTAAACTTTGTCTAATTAGGATGTACGAAAGGGTTACAATCCTAGGAAACGTGATTCACTTTATTGAGTGCATCTTTCATGATTGCGAAGTGCGTATATTGTAAAATATTATTAGTCTAGCTATCTAATGTGCTATTCATATTTATTGTTCAATATTATTAATCTAGCTATCTAATGTGCTATTGATATTAAATCTAGCAATATGTAAATTTTTCCTTTTTTTTTTTTAATTTGATATATTTATGGTGTGTGGTTCACAAATATTGTTATTTTAATCATACACATTAGTTTCATATACACGCATATAATACAGAAGGTTTCATCATACACACCCACATTAATTTCACAAAATTGTTTTTTTTTTTTTTTATTATATGTTGCATATGATATTTAAATACTTTTTATGTGTTCGTAGGGATCGGAGAACGGATTCAACGTACTATAAAACAAAAGGATATAGATATCAACAAGACTCTTGTGGAAAGAAAAATTTATCCTATAAAAAATTACAACTTTGAGGAGTGGCAAGGTCAGTCGCTAACACATGTCGGCCTGTTTTTAAAAAATCCTTTATTCAGTCACGAACAGTTGTATGTGGCCATATCACGTGTAACCAATCGTAATGGTTTAAAAATCTTAGTGTGTGGAGATCAAGTTTCTAAAACTCAGACCGAAAATGTTGTGTATAAGGAAATTTTTAATAATATCTAAATATAATGAGTTTGACTTACTTTTTTTTTTTAAATTAATAGCTTCTTACAATAGGTTGTCTTTGAACTATACGTGATATTTGAAATCTATGAGATATGTTATCTGTTTTTGATTTGCAAATACCTTTAAAATTCATGTGGGCATCAGTTACCACTTGTGATTTCCTATGTGATGGTTGATGAGTTTTAAAATAGTCAATGAGTCTTAGTAACATACACGTCGGCCTATTATGTTTCAATAAATGAAAAACTCTATTTTGTGCTATCTGACGCAACAGTGATCTTGGTTTTAAAATATTAGTTTGTGAATACCATTGTGACCGGTCATACCATCAATCTATGTATAATGAAATTTTTAATAATATTAAAAGAAGTTTCATTTTTTCAATTGATTTGCAAATAATATACATTTTTAATTTATTAACTCACGATAATTATTGTTATTGAACCATATCCCCCGTGCATCGCACGGGCTTAACACTAGTATATAATAAGGATTAACATAATTTATTTTTAGAAATATTTTCCCGCTAATTTTATTAATTATTGTCTAAAAATAGTAAATCAACAAAAATCAATGTAATTTATATACATAATCTTTTTAGTCAAATATTTATGGTTATTACCTTTATTAATTGAATTTAAATTTAGGATAATTTAATTTTATGGAAACAAATATGGGGGTATTATAGAAACTTTTGAAATCCTTAGTTTAAATATATAAATTTGATTGAGCAATTATAGAGAATTAATCGTTAATCTTTATATCTATATTATATTTCCTGTATTTAGTAAAATATAATAAATTAATACTTATGTTATTTTTCATACATTTTTTTTGTTGGCATAGTAGAGTTGCAAGATTATCTTTTTATTCGTAGACAAGATAATCAAATAAAAACTTATAAATAATGTTTATGTGCCGCTAAAAAATATTTTGGACAAAATGTAAAAATGACTATTAAAAAATACTTAATTAATTTATGGTATAAAGTTGACAAAACTA